TTGCCTCATAGTTTTCAACTCGGCCCACTCAAATATAATAACTCATTAGCACATTCCTTAGATAAAGTTACATATGTTTCAATGTGCTTTTCTTCATTACCAAGAAACACATTAAAGAAGTTGGTTATCAGTTATAAAACATTTAATTTCGAAATTCCCTATGCATGAAGGGTTGTTTCATGCAGTACTTATTTTATTGTTTAGGGGTTAGAAATAACTTCAGAAAACTGATAATATTGGCAGGGGAGTTCTCTCTTAAACTATGTATCTCCTAAATGCTTTCTTAAGTGGTGAGTCTTTTATTTTCAAGTTTTGTATCCTTGTTTAATTTCCTTGGGGTGGTGAACTTTCTGTATCCCTTTATGATTTTAAACTTGGTGGTGAGCTATTTTTCGATCTTATTGAAGTATTACCATGAGTTCATTCATTATCTATCCAGAAAACTTATTCCAGCAAATACAACTATACTATCGATTTTTCTTTTGAAATCCATAGAGAATCCATCGTCGAATCTTCCAATTGGATCTCGGATTCACATAGGGTAGAGTGGTAATGTGGTCCGCTTAATTCTACAATTAGGGAGCGAAGTGCCCCCTTGATCGATTGTTTGATATGTCTCATGTGATTCTAGGATGTCGACATCACGTTGAATGGGAGAACCTCAATGGGTGTCGATGCCGGTGGTGGTTAAGTCGGTGATCGTGACGGAGCTAGTGGTGTCGCTTGTTGGGCTAACTAGGGAAAAAAGTGGAGCAATGGCATGTATCATGCCCGTTAATGTCTACACTTGCTGGGTAAGGTTCAAGAACACCTCGACGGGGATGAGAAGGTGGTTTGGGGTCATCCTCGGGGGTGAAATGCCTAGGTAGTTGAATAAATGCCAATACCACATTGGCGTTTGTGTTGAGGTGGATACATCCATATGCGGAAAGGGTAGTTGCTGTCTCCCTTAAGTGAAAGTGTTGTGGGTTAGGAGCAAAGCATCCTCACTTGAGCGTTCATTAAAAGGGTCGATGGGCGAGCATTCCTTCGACATCGGAACCTTCTTCCAACAGCAAAATGATGAGAGAAGATATCGTTGATGTCTTGATCAGCTTGATGTGGCATGGACTCCTATGCATAAGGTTATTTGAGGTATCTCCCAAGTGAAAACGCCAAACTCTTGATATATCACTTACACGAAGATCGAGGTCAGGAGAGATTTCTCGATCTGATCCCTTCGACGCCCAAGTTAATAACCAGAAGGATATGAGTACAGAGTCGAGGAGTCAAAAAAAGGTAAGCTCTCCTTTCACTTTGTTTGAAATGAACTTTTATACCTGATCATAAAGGGATAAAATATTCATAAAATATTTTACAATGAGACAATCTCCAATCCTTGCCTACGTGGGCAAATAGATGGACACGTGATAATTATATATCAGATGACGATTGACTGATGATATACTCCCTATCAAAAATAAAATGTCGTGAATCGATCCTTAAGATGAATTAGTTAATCAATTTAGAATCATTATCAGTGTACCATGGATCAACTCAATTCTCGCTAATGATTTTAATTAGACTTAATTTTGATACTTCCATCAAGATACCATAAATCTACTTAAAAATATTATAACTAAGATAAATGGATTCAAAATCCAATACGAATCGATATCTTTAGATAAATATATTTACATAAAGATATTTATATAAATAAAAATATTTATTAGTTTAGAAATATACATAGGTATATAAATAAATATCTTTATTAGTTTAGAAACAATATAAATAAATAAATAAAAGTCTCCTATATCAGCAATGGTGTTTTTGACGCCTCCATTGAGACATTTTTAACCAAGGTAAATTAATTTAAAATCCAATAAAAAATAACTCATATACAAAAACAGTGTTTTAAATACATATCATTCTTGGTTTAGAAAGAAGAAATAGGAAGACTTTATATCAATTACATTATTTTTAAATATGCTTATCATATTTTCGACAGCTCCATCAAAACGTAAGTCCTATTCAAAAACCAAGTCCAATTGGCTCAAAACCAAATACAAAACCTCAAATATAAAATTAAAATTTAAATAAATATCTTTATTGGTTAAAGAATTTGAACTACAAAGGAAGAATTTTAAGTCACTTACAACTCTATAACTAACTTAGAAACTATGAATTGGTTCATCCTATGATCGGTTCCTACGATGTAACCAACACGTGCTCCAATTATCTTGTTAGTGGAACATTTCAGAATTATGAAGCCCTTTGAAAAATATTAAAAAGAAGACCTCCAGATAAAACCCAAAAAGATGATTTTTTTTCCAAGAATTCATCATCATCATCATCATCATCATCATCATATATATATGTATATATATGTATATATATATATATTAGAGAGAGAGAGAGAGAGAGAGAGAGAGATTTACTAGAGGACTTCCAAAAATCAACAGGTATATATATATATATATATATATATATATATATATATATTAGAGAGAGAGAGAGAGAGAGAGAGAGAGAGATTTACTAGAGGACTTCCAACAATCAACCCTGTTGCGAGCCCCATCCCTATTGTCACTCCTAACATAGAAGCAGAAGCCTACACTGAAGACGTAACATCTCTAAACTTCACAAACTTAACACCATCAGCTTGTAGTATTATTTCAACACCAGTATAAGTGTATGACACTGCATGGATTACAACCACGATAAGTACCAACACTAGCAAATATTTATAGAGAAATTATGCAAAGAGCAGAAGTTAAGGATAAATACTTGGAGCAAGCAGCTTCACCAGTAATCTCCACAAGAGCACTTCCCATCCTTGAAGTGGTGAAACCGTTTATTGTCCCGAACAATGAGCTCCCTCCCGACGATCCTAGACATGATCTTGATTGCGTTGTGACAGTCACCGCATATCCTGAGATTCTTGATGATCCGAAGTGGCATCCTAGCCGGCGTGCTTATCAGCCCATAAGCAATTGCCAGCCTCTCGCTGTGGTAGAGCAATGCCTGTTCCTTGGCCTCCTGATCAATGTCATGGAGCACATATCTAGTGTCAGGCACATACACTTGCTCCTTCACCACCTTCTTTTCTATCTTTGGGGGCAACCGGTACTCCCCTAGCTTGTTCCTCCCATCCAGCATGTTTAAGCCGGATCGCCTCTTGGCTGTAGGGGTTGGAATCTTGGACCGAAGAATCTTTGAAGGATCCAAGAAAGTCATGAGCTCCGCAGCACAGTCCTCAAGATCTACATCGCCCTGAGCCCGAGCCAAGTTCATCATCGCTTCCCAGACAGCTACTGGTGGTTCAAATGGTAGCTTCTCGATGAATTCCATTGCTTCGTTAAGGTGGCCTGACTTGCCGAGGACTTCGATCAGACCAATGTAATGCTCGACCTGTGGTGATATCCCGTTTTCTTTATGCATGGCATCAAAATGAATAAAGCCCTCTTCCACTGCCTCGGCACTGGCACAAGCGGCTAAGACGGAAAGGAAGGTACTTTCGTTGGGGCACACCCCAACCTTCCTCATCTGCTCAAACATCTGTAATCCATCGTCACCCAGGTTATTCACCGCATACCCATCGATCATCAAATGCCAAGAGTCCATGGTTCGGTCAGGCATCCGATCGAACACCCGGCGGGCATCAATCATACTACCACACTTTGAGAACATTTCCAGTAGCTTATTGTTGATTTGGAGGTCGGCACGGAAAGGGGATCGAAAGAAGAAATCATAAATCTTCTTCAGTTCATCGAGATGCTTTGAGTCGGAGCAGGAGGCGATAAGGTCGAAGAAGGTAGGAGGGTCAGGGAGGACGCCCTGGTTCAACAGATCAACAGCTTCCTTGAGCTTTCCTTCTTGGGCAAGGGCAACGAGCTCGATGGGTCCCGGAGGAGGGGCAGCAAGAGGGGGCGGCGGAACATCGGCCACCGGGGGACGGCCGGTGTCGACGGGAGGCCGCCCGGCAAAGGGAGGGTAGCGGCCGCCCACAGTGGGATGACTATCGAAGGGTGGTGGCGGGCGTTGGTGGTGCTGATTCTGGGGCGGCCAGCGGTTTGGATTCCGGTGGTCTTGCGGGTAGGAATAGGGACCGGAGGGACGTGGACCATGAGTTGGCGGCGGAGGCGGTGGAGGAGGGTGCCTCTGGAAGCTATTGGGAGCGATGTAGGAGGAACTGAGGCATCGGATGGCGAGGGTTTGCGAGTGGGCATGCGAGACCTTCAGGGACGTGAGGAGAGGCAAGGGGAAACCAGGGAGGCGTAACTTGAAGAGATTGACGGCCAGCATCGAGTTCCCGCCTCTATGGATCAGCATGAATGAGGAGGCAATAGCTCCGTGGCGGAACAACCCTAATCAGCTCTTCAGAAGCGCCCCCGGGTTCGGGGTTTGATCTTTCTGCGGGGTTTTACATGGAAGGGTTTCCGGTTCGCGTTCTTGTGGGCAAAGCATCTAAAACTGGTCAGATCAAAGCCGTCCATCAGGTGAATGGATGTGCAATCAAGCAAACAGGTTGGGCCCGATGGCGGACACACTTAGAAAAACCCTGGGACGCTTTCAGCACGGGTGAATCAACCCGAGACAGTTCGGGATGATGCCACCTTCGTGTGAACCCACGGGGAAGATGATGTCACTCGTACAAGTCTTCGACGGTGATTCACCCAAGCCGAAGAAGAATTCTTTCTATTGACATGGTTACTAGACTATGTGATTTAGCTTTAGTGCTTCGATGTACATGAACTTGATGCTTATAATATTAGATTAATCAACTCCCACGTAGACTTGAGTCTGATGTTATCATCTGTGTAATATTACATTAATCAACCCAACAGAGACAACTTCTCAATCTCAATGGAAAAAAATCAACACCATAAAAAAAAAAAATCATCATGCTATTTCAGGTTAAATGTGTTTAGTTTACAATATTAATTGTCCTCGATTAAATTATATTACTAACGTACTTGGTTGATTTATGAGAACAAATCTCACAAAACATGTTATGATGCAATAAACTTGTTACGGAACATATTTTATTACGTCATCAAAGCTATAACAAAACTTATGATAAACAAATTGAAAGAGGCCATTGAACAAGCATACCTTGAAGGAATAGCATGACCTTTAAGGAGCAACATCAACACCGAATTCATTCGATCAAATAAACATATCATCATACACAAAATAGAACAGTACATTTGAGTTCGAGCATTACGGGTATATTGAACTTCTCTAATTAGCTTGCACATCTCGTTCCTACCAGCCACCTGCACCTCAAGCAGACAAAAGGTCATTAGGATGCATCAAATCAAAGCCAAAGCCTGGAATACATTTAAATTAAATCACCAAGGAAAGAGATTGTATGCAAGTTTAGTCTTTTTTTTCTTTCTAACAGTGGCTGATATGTAACCAGAAAACAAGGGTTCGCTATAGACACAGGAGCCACCCATTTACTGTGTTCACATGCTTGTGCGTGTCATTTAGGCAGTAATCTCTATAACACATCCTCAAAACCCATTTTGTCCCTCTAATATTAAAAATTACGACTCAACTACAGAGCTTCTTAATCCTCATCAAGCTCTGATACTCAGACAAGTATTAAGTTGTCAAAATTGGAATTGCAATGGCTCAACAAATTCAACACAAAATGGAACATCTCAAACCAACCAATTTTAGCTGAAGTTTTTGTTCTAATTCACTAATCCATTGGCTCACATAATCGAACAAAAAGATTACAATTCACTGCAGCTATTCAAACATAGTGGAGGATCCTATCCATACATAATTGTATAATAAAAACTACATGTTTATTTATATTTATTGAATATAACTAGACTTTAATGACAAGTCAGATGTAAAAAATTATTTTACAAGGCTATGTTTCTTGCTATAACTCAACTTTTTTTTTTTATAAACATTCATGTCAATGACAATTGAAAACATGGTTCTAAGTTTCAGCCACAAACAACTGCAGTAAATCCATTCCACATTAGTTTTCACTGGATACAATCCGAAACTCATTTTTGGTTAGCTGGTTTATTTCAGCCTAGTTTTGGGTGTTCCCATGGGAACTTACAAGTTTCCGCTAGAACTTGTCAAAATCAGTTCAGAACCTATAAAAACAGAAAAGTTCTTTTTCTGATCCATTTTCCTCTGTGCTCAACCCATTCCTTAAAGCCAAGACTATGGCTTTTCATATATTTCACTCTGGCTTGAAATAGAGACAATGAAGATGACTATCTCTACATGTGTTATACATAATCCACATTATATCATTAAATTCAAGTTAATCAAGAAATTTAGATCGGGTTGTTCCACCAAGAAATTGATACCTCAGCCTCCATGTTAAAAATGATAAGGAAGCCCATGCTTTAAACTCCAAAGACCAAATAAATGGCTGAACTGATATTAAACACCAAAACATTTCTTCTCAAGTAACACCATGGGATTTCTTCATTTTCAGAGATCCATAAGATTTTTTGCTGCCTCTCAGAGAGTAATTTGCTTCATGCTCTATCAATCACATACTTATTTAGATTATAAAACATTAAAATCTACTTCATACTAACATCTAATGTTATTTTTTATGGACTACAACACATAATTGTTTTCATTCTTGGAAAATTCCTTTTGCTTCCAAATGATTGCACTGAAACTATGAAATATTAGCAAAATTATCAAAATTCACTCAGACTGCCAGAAGAATGGAAACTTATAGAAATGGTTGAAAATCTGATGCATTCCTTCTTCACTATCGTTACTTTTAGCTAATGTAAATAAAATGGGTTGTCCAAAAAACACAAAACTAGAGAAAGGATATTTTGGACCTAGACACTGGTTCAAATGGATACGCCAAATCCATAGGATTTATAGAGAAGAAGTTTAAGAAATTATGAAGAAGATAATTAACAATAGATTATGACTAAGTATTATGATATTATCTACTTGTCACTATCCCTTAATCCAATCAATGAATTAGAGAAGATTTTAATTTTAAGAAAGAAAAGGAGGTAAAATAATTTATCAATATTCACATCTCAGCAGCACGAAACCAGACTATAAATGAGATTTATCACTTCTATGATTCAAGACGTTGTTGATGGAAACTAATAACACAAGTCATCTTTGTTGCAAGTATCCATCTACCTGGTGAGCGCTAATGTCATATGTGTCTCTGACTCAAAAACACTCCAAATCTCATGAAAATTTGGAAACAAATCCTTGAGGATCACACATTCATATTAACCTCAACTATTTTTTTCCAAATTACCATTATACTTTACATGCTCTAATTGAACCCATCTCTCGGAAGGCACAATATGTAGATGATGCTCCTAAAAGATCGAACGATTTCAGATTCTCTAATTGTTCTGAAAGAACTAGCAGATGAAGCCTCGGTTGAGAAATTACACCCAGCCAGTGCCTCAATTTCACTTGAGATAAAGAACAGCTACAACATCATAGGTGAAACACATAGACGTGTTCCTCTGCAAACAGATAATACTGTAAACCTCCAAACAAAAAGATCCTAGATTGTTGATGAAGAAAACAATAAATTCAGAATATGGACAAAATGCCAAGTAGTGAGGCAAAAAGAGACTGAAGAGATGGGGATTCTCTCATTGGAATGCAACAAGTAGGAGAGAAGCAAAGAAAAATTGAGAAATTGAAAATAATTCAGTTCTCTATGGGAACTAATAGAGGATATTTTGGTACTACCTAGTTGGCAGCCACCTTAGATCACACGTGGCACCACTCCAGTCAAAATAGTGCACACATCTCAAAGCAATGCGAAACGATATAGAACAAACCAGAAACGGCTGTGTCCTAAAGCGATGCAGCCCAGCTCAGAAGCAATGCCACCCGGCTTCGAAGCAACACACTACAAGTCTGAAGTGGCGCACTGCAAATCCACGCTGTACGGAATCAAGCGATGCTTGCCAATGAGGATACAACCCCGCAAGGCATGGGGTCGGAAGGAGGGCCCCGGAACAGATAAACCGCATTTTCGACCAACGTTAACAAGCACAGGGGGAGTCGACTACCTACGAAAGGATAAAAACCACCCCCGGGGAGATGCCAAGGGGGGCAGGATTCACTATCCACAAAAACTAACTCAAAGAGGTCAAGCCGGAACTCCTATCTTCGGCATTGACCTGTTGTGCAGGGACTCGGGACTAGAAGCCCCTCGCGGATTCGCTAGAGAACACCCTAGGAGACGGCAACCACGACTCTTTGTCCTTACTCCGTGGAGCCTTCCTTCTGAGTAACCACGCGGATGACCTTACACAATCAAAGCCGAATCAAGCCGTGCCCCTTCCCAACATAAAGAATCACAACAGGAACCGTTTTTGCTTTATGAAATTAGAGAGATTTGGAAAGGTGGAGGATAACCAAAATAAGGATCCAATAGGTACTTATCAATGTGAGACTTTGGGATGGGTTAATGCAGAAAGTCTTTACACTGCAACCAGAAAGTCTAATTTCATAACCCTTATTTCCCCAATTCTCTATCCTAGATTAATCGATTAAAAAAAGCTAAGAGATCATAGCAAAATCCGCAGAATCTCTATTTCAATAGGACAAGGGGATGTAAAAAGATCAGATTACCTCGGCATGAGGGATGCAGGGGTTGAGGATCGAACAGAAAGCGAGAGGAGGAGGGACACTCGAGTGGCGGCTGATATTGGGAACTAACGAAGCAGACGAGCTCGTCGCGAGTCCCGGCCCCTACCTCCGTGCGCGCGGAAGAGACAGCATCGGCCAGCATAAGAACCCCCTCCGAGAGTCCGGCCGGAACCACCGCCGCCGCAAGCGGCGCCAACCGCGATCGAGCGCGCCGCGGCGAGCACGCGGCAGCCATGAGCCGGGCGGCGCAAGCGCCGATTGGACTCGCGCTGCTCATAGCACTATGCGTGAGAGAGATGGGAATCAAGATAGTGAAAATGAGGAGTGAAGGCTCCATTCATAGCTGCCGTAAATTTCAAATCCGACCCGTTAACATCTATTGGATTATGTTTAACCAACTTTGATCAGAATTAAATTAGAGGTGGTATTAGGTGAGATTTTTCGGATTCTCAAATAATGTTATTTGAAACAAGTATAAATATAAAATACTAATAATAATAATAATAATAATAAGGTATGGGACGAATTTAATTATTGTTAATTAAATCTCGAATACATTTTTCACAAAGAAAGAAATAAATACCAAGTTTGATCTATCGGGTTTGGATTCAGGCTGCATGTCAAATGTAAAACTAGAAGAACACTGAAGGCACCACCTCTTGTTATTATTCTCATTCATACAGGCGAGCATGATGCCATGGAAATGAATGGAACATAGGAGTCTTATTACCGTGGCCATATACCCTCCGTTTTCCTTCCCCTATCTACACCCAAAAATATTCCACAAACAACATCTTTACATTATTGCAGGCAGAGAAGCCATCCTCTACCCGCCATGTTCAAACTTCCTGCGAAGCCCTCGTCTTGATCGGCTTCAACTTCACGCCCATGCTTTCCGGTGACAGCAACTCCGGTGAGATGCAACATGGACTGAGCGGACTGCACGGGCTGCCGGTTAATTGGCTAGGTCTGTACAGCCCATACCCCATGAAGAAATACTCCATCGGTATCAGCATCGCATGAGGCTGCTCCTCCGTCACCAGTGATCCACATGCATGGACCTGAATTGCATACACAAAGTTCAGAGACTAAAGCCAGCCGTGTCCTATTTTGAAGTTGATGATCATCGCAGCATCAAGATCATACCTCCACCAAGGCACTGTATCTTCTGTCCAGCTTTGATGCCATGTGAAGTGCGTCAACATGGAATGGGGAGTTCTCGCCCACGAATACTAAAGTCCGGCATTGTAGCTGCTGCAGGTCTTCAGTGATGTCATGCCTCCTGCTCGTCGGTCGGTAGCAGTGTTAGAATGAAAAAACTAATGATTGTTGACAAATAAAAAATGTTTGACAATACCGGTTAATCGATTGAAGAAACCGCCACACGTTCATGGCTTGTCTTTCATCCAGCAGCTGAAGAGGCAGAGCGTCAGGCACCATTGCAAATGAATACATTTCTTCTTCTCAGATTTATATAGCCAATGAATAACGCATAGACAGATGGGTTAACTAGACTCACATTTCTGCAGCCCTGCACAGTATCTGACTCGGGGATTTGTGCAATGCCACGAACTTCCTGCCAAAATAAACGAAAAGAAAATCATGGGCATTAGTGTCATGGCGCAACGAAAGAAACATAAAGAACAGTATAGCAAAAGCTACCTTGCTAAAGTATCGCTGAAGCAATCTCTCCTTTATTAAGCCACACATACCATAGAAATAGATTAAATTCGATATAACCTGAACAACAGCGTTGACAATTAGCTGATGATCTATTTCATGTAGATTAAACAACGATGGTAATGAGGATCTGAGGTCAAACCTTATTGTACAACCATTCTGTCCAAGAGGGAGCTTTACATAGAGGAGATACAAGAATCAGACCAATCACACGCTCCCTATATTTGATCTGGAAGGATGTAGAACTTAAGTCAATATGCTATAGATAATGTAATACTAAGACATGATCCTTGGGAAGCACCTACAGCAAAAAGGGTAAGAATGTAAGCACCAGCGGTGACCCCCAGGCACATAACTGAACCTAACCTAGAAAGGGATGAATCAAGAAATTAAGAAAAACATTTAGAAACCCAACATTCAACTATAAAGCATCCTAGATTACAAGAACAAAGCGAGTAACCAGATACTACATATGCTTATAATTACCTAAAGAAGTCGAGAACAATGGCAATTTGATTGGCCAAATCATCAACAGAAGGAACAGGAATATCAGAAGAAATCGGACCAGCACCTGTCTGCAACAGAACTTGAGCAAGATGAGTCAGATGACAAACTGATATGAACACCATGTTAACCAAGCATATGATAAAGGAACATAATCATCAGAAACGAGAATCAGCTAAAACAAACGCTTCTATCAAAGGTACCGACCTCATGCCCTGGAGGACTGATATGATAAATGCAAAAGCTATGAAGCAACAGGGATGCAGCTTCAGGACAAGAAAACAATCCTTGGAAACATGACACATCTGCCCAATAAAGCCATCAACATAACATAAAGTAAAATTCCTGAAAACTGTTAAAATGAAATATATATGTATTTGGCTGTGCACCATTCAAAAATTTGATATCAAGAGAAACGACATAGCAACAGCTACTTTTGTGGTGCCTTGTTGGCCGAACAAACAAAGAGAGTCTAGCAAACATGAACAGTATAACACCAACACTCCTAATACTCAAATAATTTAACAAAGAGAGCCTAGCAATTTTATTTTAAGAAATTGAAGCAATTTAACCACAGAAATGTCATGTGCAAACACTGAAGAAACATATCATATTAGACTAGCACAAACAATAGAATGATTTGAGATAATCTTAACGGATCTTTATCAATGTTTAAAGATACTTCATAGATGGTCAAGTAGCACACATTAGTAGAATAAAAGCAAAAAAAATTGGTCAACTGTTTCTAACAGTGAACTTACAGTTTAAAGCAACATCTGGATAGGTTATTAATGCAGGCTTCTCCTTATCTCCAAAAACAGTAACCGACACCTCGCCAAACCTGGTCTTAACAAGATGTTCCTGTGGACCCAAAAAATAAAAACCCACAATGATTCAGTAATCACATGAGAAACCTGTAAAAGTATCCTCAAAAGAAAAGCAAACATTTTGTTTTCACTTAGCATTAGTACAGAAAGAGAAAAGGTGGACCAATCTTCATATAGAAACTTGGTGTAAGCAAGATTCAGCAAACACGACTACAATATTGTTGGAAAAAGAAAATAATGCATATCTCCTTGACAACAACAAAAACAGGGACGTTAAAGAACTTCATTTATATAACTATTTGCAGTTTCATATATGATTCATCCTTGACCGAATAACAGTAGGAAAAATATTGCTTACCTGGACAATTTGCAAAATGAAAAGAAAAAGCAAATAGGCAACAGAGAGCTACAACTCTGGGCCTTAACACAACCAATGACGTCAGAATGAAAAGATGGTTTGCTCACATTATTGCTAAAATGGTGAAGAAACATAGAAGTGGATGTTCAGGTAGTCAAAGCTTAAAAAGATAACACATGAGACCAAGAATTTGACAAGATGATTCAAGAGAATCAATTGAATCAAGTCAACATAGAGTGGACATATACTAAACGAGTTGGTCCAACAAAACAGATTTCTTTTATTTCAATTGTTCTCAATAACAAATTGGTATGGACATAATCCGAAACATCGAGTCAGGAACTGTCTGCACTAAGGTCAGCTCAAGCTACTAAAATATGATTCAATGGAATACTCATCTTCAAGGATAGAACACATTCTACTTCAAGCGATGAACATGTAGGCAAGCAAACACCGTTGCATAAGCCTCTGTTCGTTTCCGAAGTACAATGTCGGCTCGTCTATAAAAAAAAAACAACGAATCTCTGAACTCAGTTGGACTTCAGTTTATTCCCTTATCCTGATATAAAAGACGCATAACGAATAAAGCAAAGGACAATCACATTTGGATTTCACATAAATCGAAGGACGAAACAATCCGAAATATTCTTGATACCAACTCCGAACCATCTCGGGGTTTCCAGGAGAGTCCTGTTACAAGGAATCATCATCCTTTCCTCATAGGTCGACGACTTAGATTCCAAAGCATCAAGATATGGAAAATAAAATCGAATTCTTGGCATGATTTAGATTTTTCTTGTGAAAACAACAACGCTCCGTTAAAAAGGAACAAAAAATCTCATGGCTAACGTAACAAAATCTTATCTTTTTTAACTATCTAAAAACCAGGGACGGAAATGCTAACCGATGAAACAATAAAACCCAACCTTTCCGCCGAAGGAGAGCTTCTCCACATCAATCGAGACGGAGCCGCTCGAATCTCCCATCGGCCAGGAGGCGTCGCGATCAAGGCCTGGATTCGCCCCGCCTCGCCTTCGCCTCCTTCCGTCTCTCGCAATCTGTTCTCGCCTATTTGGGAGGAGAATCCGCCATCGCTTGTTCCGAACCGATACCACGAGCCGGAGAACGAATCTTATTCAGCTCTTTCTTTTATTAACGCAGCGACGAAAAGCCCACCGACATCGCTCTCGCTTCCTCTCCTTGTGGATGACAGCTGGCAGATTCAGGCTTCCTGTTGCACACTGGCCCGCACGAGGTGGCCCGGGTTGTGGTACCTGAATGACGAAACTACCCACCCGCGATTTTGAGCTCCCGAGCAAAGCTATCGATCACAACCGTCCGATCCGTGACGGCTGACGTTCGTCTCCGTTGAGGCAACAGATTGGATGGGATTTTCTGTCCAACTACTTGCAGGATCCAGCTTTTCCAATCTCTTTACTTCTCCACAAAAAGTGGGGACCAACTGTGTTATGTGGGTGCGCGAAAGCTGAATCTTGCGGGGCATTTACAGCTGATCTGTACATAACAGCCGCGATGGCTAAGGTGGAGCCCGTTTCGTTTGACTGCGGGTCAGCGATATAAATCGGGGAGTAGGTGTGGCAGAGAGCCTGTCACCGTCGGATCACGAGAGGCCACCGAAATGGTTACTGACGTAAGCATATTCTGGGGAACGGGATATTCTTCGCGAATCTCGAAGCACGATGGACCATCGCATTTGATATACATGGAAAATATAACATTAGCAAAGCGGGTTTCAGTGGGCGAAGAGTGTGTCACGGCTTACGTGGCTCCTGTAAACACTAAGTGATCGTTTAGACCTAAGTTGGTGGCATGATGAACAAGTCAAACCGGGGTAATAATAAAAATGAATCATATCCGCAAACTTCGAACTATTTTGAGAGTGATATGTATAGGCACGTAGGAGGAGGCGGAGGAGGCAATGGCGACGAGAAGACCAAGTGGTCGGCCAACAACGACCATGGCCCCCCCTACTCTACTTCCTTTATAAACACCACCCCTTAGCACTCTTCTTCCCCCACTAAGCTGCTCTCTCGTCTCTCCTTCATGGCGGTGACCACATTCCACCCTCTGCTCCTCCTCCTCCTCCACCTTCTCGTCGTTACCGCTAATGGCACTTCAAAGCCCGTGAAGTATCAAACACTTGTCGTCAACCCCCTCAGAAGCCCCCCGCCCCTCCTTCCCGAGGACGACATCGCCATCGAAACCATGGCCACGGCAGACGAAGCTGAGGTGACCCTCCCGGTCCCCTCCTCCGTCCACGTCCACCTCACCAAACGTGACTCCTTCCTTGCCGCCAGCGCCACCGTGGAGCAGATCTTCGCCCTCCGCCTCGACCGTGACGCCGCCCGTGTGGAAACCATCCGGCATACCCTCGCGGCAGCAAAGGCCGCGGAAGTAACTGGCCGGCGAGGTTTCATGACTCAACTGGTCTCCGGCCTTACCCTGGGAATCGGCGTGTATTTCACCAGGATCGGGATCTCCTGCGAGGTACGCCTCCATGGTGCTTGACACCGGTGTTAGTGTCAACATCTTTATGCCGTGGCCTCGGGGTCAATATGACTCTTGAGACCGTTGAGGTAGCCGACCGCTGTGGTCCGATCATGATGGGGTCACCATTTTCTCTGGGAGGGGACCCCTCGCCTGGACCTTCGGTGGGAAGCACTCCATCTTTGTCCCTGCACATAGGTCGGGTTCGGGTTCGACGATCAAGTAAGTCGATAGTCTCAGGGGGTTTTTCTTATTTTTCTCCCCCCATTCGGTCCGAACGCGAGGGTTTTTATAGGGAAGGTCATTGTTTCCTGATGTGCTCGCTTGCAGGGAGCTGGATAACATCTGACATCGGCATTGGCTTTGCGTGAAGGATCGGGCTCCTGCAAGATGGCGACGTGCCTCGGTTGGCGTTTTGATCTGCTTCGGCCAAGCGTTGTCAGGTCAGACCAAGGTAGGCAACCCCCGTAACTCCTCGATCTACGTGACTTAAGAAACATCATCCGGGAGCAGATGACGTTAGTTCATGTCTCATCATTATTATTACCCTCCCCCCGGAGGGAGCCATGCATCGATTGTTGCTAGAGGGGTCCAAGGCGTGGCTTCTGCTTTAAGTGGTTGTTCCTGTCGGTTTGCCCTCTAGTTAGTGTCGAGGAGGTTCCCTAGAGGGTCGCGATGGTCGGTTGCTGGCCCGTTGTCCTATGCGACGTGTGACCGTGGGGTATGACTTGAGCAAGGCAGAAGACTCGGGCGAGCAGGTGGCGCCGAGGTGTAGGAATCATGCAGTTTGCAATCGAGGTATGCGGCTCAAGCGGGCAGGCCGCGCAGAGGTAGACTCGGGCAATCCGTGGCCGAGGGGCATGGCTTAGGCGGGTAGGCCGCGCAGAGGTGGGATCGGAAGATTGCGGCCGAGGGGCACGACTCAGGCGAGCAGGCCGCGCAGAGGTGGACTTGGGCAGACTGCGGCCGAGGGACACGACTCAGGTGGGCAGGCCGCAAAGAGGTGGACTTAGGTAGACTGCGGCCGAGGGACACGGCTCAGGAGGGCAGGCCGTGCAGGACTCGGGAAGATTGCGACCGAAGGGCACGGCTCAAGCGAGTAGGCCGCGTAGAGGTGGTCTCGGGCAGACTATGGCCGAGGGGCACGGCTCAGGCGGGCAGGTCGCGCAGAGGTGGACTCGGGCAGACTGTGACCGAGGGACACGGCTCAAGCGGGCAGGCCGCGCAGAGGTGGACTCGAGCAGACTGCGGCCGAGGGGTGCGGCTTAGGCAGGCAGGCTGCGCAGAGGTGGACTCGGGGTCCACGGGCAGACTACGATCGAGCAGCTGCTCGGAGCAGCAGTATGTTATGCGACGATCTGTGAACGCGGGTGGCCAAGTACATCTTCGTATGCGCGGGGGCCGAGGGGACGATCCCTCGCGTGGAGTCGCCAGCTCTAAGGAGTTGAAATCGAGAAGATCGTGCCTTGACATTCGCTCTACGCGCCCTTTGGCTGCCATGTCAGGCCTCATTTATGGCGGGGTGATGTTTGGCCTGCAACATGCGACGTGCTTTGCGGGAAGGGCACCGATGGGCTTTGTCGGCTCTCGGCTATTACCCCCGGGGTGGCTTCGGCCTGACCCTTTTGTGCTCCTCCCACCTCCCGGCCATCCAGGCCTCCGCCGCGATGTACTGGTTAGCCCGTTGGAGCATTTCCGGTACCGCGGTGGGGGGTCACTCCATGAGGGACCAGAAGAATCTAGAAGGTCGCGGTCCTATCATAAACGCCTGCATTAACAGAGAGGGATGAGCGTCTAGCAACCCCGGGATTTCCGTGACAAAGCGATTCACAAAATGGGAGAGGGGCTCGTCCTCTCTTTGGTTAAGTCCGAGGAGCAGTGCAACGGACGGCTTTGGCCAAGCGTAAGCTAGGAAGTTAAGCTCAAAGTCTTTGGTGAGCTGATCAAAGGAAGTGATCGCCCCGGCCTTCAGGCCGCTATACCATGCGCGGGCTGCCCCCTCAGAGTCATGGGAAACGCCTTGCACATCAAAGCGTCTGAGGTTCCGTACAGCGCCATCTGGGCACGAAAGGAAGCTACATGGTCTACCGGGTCAGTGGCGCCATCATATGCATCGAGAGAGGGGAGCCGGAAGTTCGGGAGGACTTACTGATCTTGTATCTCAAGCGTGAACGGAGACCCCCGGTGCGCGTCCTCCCTGAGTTCTTCTTTTGACTTACGAACCTCCCTATGCACTTTGTCGAGTCGCTGGTTAACAAAGCGCCGTTGGGCTCGCAAGGAGCCCGTTGAATCTAAAGATAACACCTCGGGCTTCGAGCGGGCGCTCGGGTTTCCCATTGCTCGATCCTCGAGCAGGGCCGATCAGACCCGAGGCGACGCGGGGAGCTCTGGAGGTACCGTGTGAGCTCGAACGGGCGGCTCTTGTTGCCGTAGTGGTTGGATCATAGGTGGGTGCGCCGGATGAGAAATGAACGGGATAATAGTCTGCACCATCCCAGTCAGAGCTCGGACTTGATGAGTGAGGTCCTGAAAGGCCTCAAGCGATACGGGCGACGGGTCGGTTGGGGCGCCTTCTGTTGGGAAATCTTGGGGACGACATCACATGCGCAGCGGAAGAACAAGAAAACAAAATCCCCGATTCCCAAAGAAATGTTCATCGTCGTGTGAAGATTGGTGCACAAAATCCGCGAAACTTAAAATTGTGTATAGAGTAGATTGTGTTACCTAGGGAGATCGTATATCCTTATTTCCTTGCAGATCCTTAGGAGAGGGTGAAGGAGGTCAAGCATCCTCCTCTCTAGCGGTAATCCACACAATAGGGTTGCGATGACGCTCCTCAAAACTCCAAGCCTGCTCTGAGGTGGAGAAGGGGAGGAGAATAGGAAAGGCAAGCAAAGGCTCTAGCCTATGAGGCTCTGAATCCCTTCTATTTATAGAGGTCCCATGTCAAACCCTAATGGGTCCTCCCCTAGTGAGTATTGGATCTGCATCCAATAAGACAAGGGCTCCGTCGAATATCTCATATCCGAACCTCTACTCATCGCAATGCCTACCATATGTGTGTGACCCTCTAGGCCCAATATCGAGCTGGCCGTGAGTCATACTTGTCAGAACTCCTTCTAACTCAGTAAATTATTATCTCTGTAATAATTCACTTGACTCATCGACTACGGACGTACTAGGCCACTATGCCATAGTCCCCAAACGATACAGGGGAATCCAATCCATTGGACCTGTCTGTCCTCAGTTACCGTGTACCTATAGGCTCTTCCTCTATCGACACTCAATAGCCCTCGTAAGGTCGACTACCACTCCCAATGACCAGCTGTACTAGATCTGGGACAGCCAAACCTATAAGTCTGGTATCAAAGAGTGGAGCACTCATATAGGACATCCTTGGTGTCTCAAGTCTAAGGATCATATATACCACTAGGACTACGGAATCGCTGTCTGACAATAAGGCATCATCAACCATCCAGTATTCCGTAAGCGGATCAATCAGTGAACTCATTCTCCAATGAACACCTGTACTGTATCCCTAGTGTCCCTATACGAGCAGCTATGAGACCAGCCGCATCCATCATATGGATGGGTATACAGCACACTAGTCTGTCCGGTTATCAC